AACCAGTTAATTACTGAACCAGTACCTTATGTCATGATAAAAAAAAAAAAAATCTGCAAATTTGTGAGGAGTAAAAACATTTTTGAAAACGGAGATGAGCTGAGCCCTCGCTGTGCTGTACGCACGCAGAACTTGCATCGATGTAGAGACCTGGATTACTCCATGTAAAGAACCCCCAAGCAGCAGACATCCAGGGCAACACTAAGTTCTGCAAAGGCGCCTTTCTTCATTTTCCACATTCTGCAGAATTTCTCTCTTACCTCTTATCTTTCCTTATCTGGATAGTGGATGCAGAAGCACACAAAAAATGAAAATGAGACACATCTCAGTTTTTAAAGGTCATTTTACATGGAGAAGCAAACTTCCACCGCATCCCAGCTAGATAAAACTGTAACCAGATCATTGAACAAGCTGTACAGATTGACTTACAAATTCCGCAGGCCATCCTTTTGAGTCTCACAACATTAACCAGGCTCACCTAGTTGTCTTTGCAACCACTGTTTTCCTCCATTCTTCTTCTTTCCTCCAAGCCCTAAAAGCAGCTCCCAAAAGGCAGGTCTCGGCAGCATGACTAGAACAATAACCATCCTCCTACCACCACCCCCAGGAAGCCCTTCTCCCACTGAAACATTTAAAATGTTAAAGTCGGCTCCAAATCCAAGTGGTTTGGGGAAAAAGGTTCACGCTGATTCTTGGTTTCTGGCCGATGGGAACAGAGCGCATGGCCGTTCGCTCCATCCCATCCCACTGCAACAGCCTCCGAGGAGCAGGCACCACGGTGCTGCTTTCTCCCCCAGAAGGAGCTGCGCTTCAATCACCAATGCAGGAAGAAGAGGGCAACTACTGCTCCCGTGCTGCGGGCAGAGCTCCTGGGTGGAATAATTGGAAGCATACAGGTATTCAATATTTAGTTTCCAATTCTCTTATTCATACTTTTAGTTTTTGCCAGTCAAATCTGTCAGCAAGTACCTGGAGCTGTACAATAAGCGATTTTTCACTGTGCTGACAGTTCTGAGTACTACCCAAAAAAAGCTTCCTTCGCAGTCAAATTAAGTATTTCACTTAAAACAAAGAGTATCAGTGTGTGCGCAAACTCAATGGGTTTGCCTGAAACAATTCTGAATTTTAGTCATTGACGGCTTGGAATAAAACTTGGGGAGGCAGGAGAAAAAAATTTAAAAAAAACACATCTCCATTAAAAACCTTAATCAGAACCAAGTGACTATAAAACGTCATATGCTATAAAGTGTTTACAGTCACGCACAGAGGAACATGGAGGCAATTTTGTAGAGTGACTCCTGGAGCAAAGGCCTCGGAGAATAAAAGTGTCTTTAGATATTTGTTATCCTGTTACAGTTGATATCACCTTGAGTATACAACGCCTGCCTGCATTATGTAAACAAGTCATTGATAAATCCCTCCCACCCCCCCCAAGCTGTGTCAGACTGTTCTGGGCTGACAGCTATAGCTGAAACAGATGCTGCTGTAAATACCCCTGTTTAGCTGGTTGGAATATAATTTCTTTTGTAGAACACGGTGGATGCTCTAGTTATCACTGAACTTGCACCTGTGCTGGAATTTATTACTCCTTTGTACACATCAGGATGCGTTTTTTGAATGATTCCATAAATACACACACAGGGATGGATTTTGATGCCCCTTTCTCCTCCTCTTAAGTACAGACATCCTTTACAAAGGAATTCACTAATTTTAACTGAACTCTTAAGTTTAGAAGCTACAAGATGCAGAGGTGGTAAAGTTTACCTCTTACACCCAGAGAGTTAGTTCCCTCTATTTACTCCCTGTAGGCTCCGAACTCCCATGGCAGTTGCTGCTTTTCAGCGTGGTGTGAGAAGACCACACAGTTATGCTGGCAGCGGCCGCAAGGCTTACAGGCTGGGTTTTTAAACCTTGTGCACTTCAGACACCACCATGATAATATAAGGACACTTTTCACACCATGTAGCCGGGTGCTATGTAGCACCCAGCCAGCCAAACCAAGGCTTCTGGGCAGTTCGCAGTTACAGCTGGACCTGGCTTAAAAATGAAGAAAGGAGTTGTACTAGCTAACATAGTAGCATGATTTAGGTTGTATTAGGCAGCAGCTGATAAATGGTGGATCTGTCATCATTCATACAGTAGCTCATTTGTATTTTCACCTGGAAAGATAATTTCTAATATATTATTTTGCTTGTACCTGAAATACCAGAGATAGAAACATTTTACGATATCCATCTTAAACAAGTTCAATACTGTTTTAAGCAAACACAACCCATTTTATATTCAAGTCTAAAATTGTAAACCATATTCTGCTAAGCACCGCTACCTATGATCCATGTCTCTTAGCTCGGGGAGAGAATGGGATAAAATTTCTATGCCACAGGCTCTCATCCCTGCAGGCTGAAGAAGCACGGGGATGCACCTGGCCCACGTTCTGAAGGAATCTTGCTGGGTTTTCTTTTCTGATGTTTATTTTGGTTCAAAGGACTTCCTTCTCATCCACCTGCAGACAACCTGGCTGGCTGAAAAAACTTCTTTTCACACTCCATACAACCTTCTTCGTAATTAGGATACCGATCTGCAAGATGAACAATGTACGGTAGGGGCAGTGAATCAGTTCAGTACTACGACTGCTCCACAAGCCTACGTACCCTTGACTAAGATATAATGCACACAACCACAAAGATCCACTCTAAACCGATGAAATGTTTTCCACTGGAGTTATTCTAAGCCCTGACAAATGTGCTTCATTATAATTAACCTCTCGATCAGAAGCTAAGTCACTGGTTCCTCTGAAGAGATGTGAACAACCTAAAGAAGGACATGATCTTTCAACTCAAAGCCAACTATTTAACCAGCTATACTTACCTTAAAAGGACAGCATTATGAATAGACAGGCCCTGCTCATCAGAAAACCTTCTAAAGACTATTGAGCAGCACTGCACCCCTTCAGCACCACTAAGATAGCAGCATTGACTACAGGCTTAGTTTTCCTTGCCACCCATCTACCACCCCAGGAGCCAGCTTTCTTCCCACCACAGTTTTGCATATATTGAACCAGTTCGAGTCTTCCCATCTGTTAGAACTAGAGGTTTTGAAGATGATTATTCCAAATAAGTTTAAAGGTTTCAGAAGAGGAACCAGAGCGATCTCTCCTACTCAGCCGTTAAAGCCTGCCTTGATTACTTTGATGTAACAACACTTGAAAGCTCCTATTCTTTGAAACTAATTTAAACACATTGAATTGTTGAAAGATTAAAAACCGCAGTCAGCTAATTACACTCACTCTCATCTCTTATTCAGCAAATGAATCACTTTTCATTACCACTTAGCTGAAGTACATGAATTTCTGCCTAATTAGAAATGTTGTAGATGGAGCATTAGCAAGGCTGGAGCAGGTCAGGATATCTTGCCTGCTTCATTTTTAATTCCTAGCAGTAGAGCCAGATAGGAAAGGCTTCAGATAAGAAGTCATTAAACAATTTTAAATTATTTATAAAAATTACTTTGCCCAAATTATAATTATTTTTTTTCCCAAATGCTCTCATAAACGTCAAATGGAATGAAAGAAAAAGCAGCCCAACATTGATTTTAATGAACATTTTAATGTTATGTATAACAGAACATTATGAATACAATGGAAACAAAGTTTTATCAATTTAATAATAAAAAAGAAATCCAACATAAGAAAAGGGAGGCAAAAATTTCATACCTATAGTATAGTGCTTATTCTTAACAATATTCCCAGTTTATGAATATAACAATGTCTTTGTATTCCAGATTCTAGAATCATGATTGATGAGAACTTAAATGCAGAATTACAGAAGGAAAACCAAAAATCTCCGAAAGCTTAATTCATTCTTGTTTTCAGTAAAATTTTTGACTGCCACAGGTTTCCTTTATTAATATATATTTTTTTTACTCCTCTCTATTGGATTCCACAGCTGCTAATGCCCTATTATTTGACTGCCACAGGTTTCCTTTATTAATATATATTTTTTTTTTACTCCTCTATTGGATTCCACAGCTGCTAATGCCCTATTTACACAAAAGGATCACCAAAGGTTGTATAAAAGCTAAGATCCAATGCCGTTGGATTAGGTAGGGTTATAGATTTACATAACTTAAGTGTAATTCACCTTGTTATTTTTTGCAATGATGCAAAAAATAAGTATTTTTGCCTTTTGACTGCTGCCATAAACCAGTGGCTCCACAGGGATGCGGGTGGTACAAAGGATGCTAACTGCCACTGTAAAAACTGCAAGAAAGTGCATTTTCTGAAGTTTTCTGAAAGGAAACCTTCCAGCAGTCTTGGATAAAGCTTCTCCCAGACTTGCACTGGGTATCAGTTATAACAATAGAAGCATGTTAAGACCCCAAAAATCTGTTGATCACCAAATTGCTGAGAGAGGATTTTTACAATAAAAATTTGAGTAATATAGCAGTGTGGCTGGAACATTAGCAAAAGTATATATACATTCCAGGTCCCTTTGAATTAGCCATAATCACACATATGTAAGCCATTTTTGGACAAAAATATATATTCTTATAAAAAACTGATCATAGTACTTGAGTGACTTCAATTGTGGACTCAGCGGTAGTAAAAGGAATGATCCAATTATGACAAAGCGATCAGGGAGAGGGGGAAAAGAAAGCCAAGCTCTTTAAGAAAAAAGAAAAGTATAAAATTAGATTCAAACATTTTTATCCAACCCCATTCCAGTCTTCCATCAAGTCTCAAAGTTAAAATTGGTTCTTCTACATAGGAAAGGTTTTTTGATGGTCTCAATACAAATTATTTTGCAAAATCATCTAACACATTCCTTAGAAGAACCTTCCACCTCTCCAGAATTTGAACACTAGTTATTTCAACAGTTAGAAAATAGCTTTTGGTTCTTTGTGTAGACACTTTAACTGATAAAGAAAAAAAAAGTATTGATCAGTGTTTTCCATCCCTTCCCCAGCTATATTTGTGCAGCTAAAAATCCTTCATTCAGTCTGCCCATCTATTTTATTTTTATTTCATTTTATTTATTTTACAATCTTTATTTGCTAAAATTGGCAAAATTTGCAAAGGCATCTTGCTTGGGTTGTACAGTCCCAGGAGTCAGACAGGTCATAGCGATATTGGGTACCCCCATTCCTATTGTGCCTGTCAAACCCATTCCTGTAGCTGGCACTCCCATGTTCATGTTTATTCCCATCATTCCCTGGTTCATCATAGGCATAGATCCCACGGAGGTCATTCCCATCGTACCTGACATCACACTGGGCATTCCCATCCCCACAGGAATGGGCCCACCCATCAATGGGCTTGTCTGGGGTCGAACAGGCATCACATTAGGCTGAGGACTGAGGTTCACGGCTGCAAAGTTTTGAGTCATGACATTCATAGGTTGTTGCATATCTGCAAAAAAAGGGAACAGGATGCAAAAATCATTAATCAGAATCTGATGCTGAAGGTGCTCATCTATTTTAAGAAACTTATGAGGTAACTGCTGTGAACAAAGATACGATGGCCAAAAACATAGCTATTTCGCTCGTTTTCCCATTTACTGTGTGAAGCCTCAAAAACTTTTTAAAGTTTTAAATAGTGTTTTATACCAATATATGCTACTATGTATATTCTAGAGAAGTTCTAGAGATTAGGAAGCCTGAAATCAAGATACAGCAATGGCGCAAACTCTACAGTAAAAACATGCACAGATACCAGCCTCCTGCACATCAGTCTCCGTTTAGAAAATACCACTTCTGTCAGAAGCATCACAGTAGTTTAAGAAACAATTATGACTAACTGTAGGAAAACAATAATTGACAGAATACTCCATCTCAAGGACAACCTACTGAACACATACAAGGCTCAGCGTGCATGCAAAGCAGTGCAATCATCACTCACTTTGTTGCTGCATCATGGTATTAAGTGATGGCTGCTGGGGTTTGGAAGGCTGCATCCCAGGTACTAAATTGTCCAAACTGATATTTACGCTGGGATCTGACCAAGTTGAGGGTAGAGTTTTGCTTGCATTCTTCTGGACCATCTCTGTGCTTGCATTATAAAGAGGGTTAGGCTTCGGCATCATAGTGTTCAAGCTTTGCAGAGGCTAAAAAAGAAAAGTTTGTTGGGATCCACTTGAAACAATTTACCAGTAGGTGTCAGGACTAAACAACAAGTGTTAATTTTTCTGCAGAATACAATAAAAAGCCAATGAGATTTTTAGCCATGAACTTCAGCTCTTCCAAAGCAGTGTTGCCATGCGCTGTTACGCCATTAGAATGGGTTAAAAGAGTATTTTGTAAGTTAGCATCTAGCTCCCATATCAATATGTAGAATGACAGTGATCATCTGCAGTCAAGTGTTGAACTCATACTGATTTTTTCCTCCTAACACCAAGCTGACCTGTTAAGGTTTCCAAAAACACTCTCCACTGATGCAGGCACTTCTGTGTTTTGGAGAACAGACCAGTCCTCGCCTCCATCTACTTGAGGCTGGAAACCTATAACATTCTGTGTAGGATGGCTTTAAGGTTTAAAATATCAACCTCGTCTTCCCCAACAAAGCAGCAACACTTCATAGAACACTGAAGATCATCTCAGAGAAAACTAGCTTATGAAAGGAGGCTTTTCAAGAAAATTTGACACCTTTTCTTTTTAGGAGGCTGTGCAAACATTTTGGACAAAACTTTCTTACAAAATGCTGAACACAACATCTGAGTGACTAGGTATGGACTCCAGAAGTGGAATGGATTAACTTTCAAAGTTGTGATTAAGGAGAAGGCAAGAGATTGAGGAAGGTCATTAGCAAACTACAAATAGCAGCATACCTGTGACCTTGACATGGGTAAACTGATGCCCACAGCACTGGAGCTCATCATAGAGAAATTCATACTTTGTGAAGAGGTCATGGTTGTCTGAGAGGGGCCCATCAAATCAAAAAGATCAGTAGAATTTGAAGCAGTCGAAGGCTGGCCAGAAGCTGACTGTGAGCTACTGAAGAGCTCTATAGCTGGCTGCTGTGCTGTGCTGCTGAAGAGCTCTCCAGATGAAGCACTGGGACAAGGAGAAGCTTGGTTGAAGGCACTCCAGTCACCAAAGTCTCCATTTCCACTTGTTGCTGTACCTGAAGGAAAGGCAACAGTGTGGGAGGAAGGAAGACAGAGAGAAGAAAGGCAGAAGACTTAGAGAAAGGCACTGAGCAAATGCCATATTCCATGAACTGAAATAAATGAGAGCTGATCTGTGTCCGTCCAGATTAACATCTGCAGGTAGAACCTCCATCTGGACATCATTCCCTCTCATGAATATTCCAACAATTTTAACAAGGTAGCAAAGGAAATATGAAAGACCCATGCACAGAAAGAAGGATGTTTGATAGCATCACTTGTGGATGCGAGACAAGTAGGGACAGGTTTTCTTTAGTTGAAATATGACCAAAAGATAACTTAGGGGCAGATTGGAGGCTCTAGTCAAAACAACACCTAGAACTTTGATAATATTTATCAACTTTTTATCTCAGTGCTCTGGTATTTGCTGAGAGAACAGTTGTCAGGAATGAGCCACTTGATAAAGTAAATTCCATCATGATAAAACAAAGACAACTACTTCAAAATTAGTTTATATACAATTAGTAGCTCTTTGCATAAAACAATGCTGAGGGGAATAAAAACCAGAACTTTGAAAGCAGGTTGCCAGGGAATTCTTATTTGAGGTGGTAAGGCATAATTACTTCCCATCCCATGAAACGCTCATGTAAAACACAGTAAGTTTTCTAAATTTCATTCCTGAACTAAATGCCTTGGCTTGAAGCAGAAATTCAATCTTGGATCTAACAATTCTCCCAGCAGAAGCTTTGCTGAACTCTTAGTTCATCACTGTGTTTCATTTCAATATACCAGGGTTTATGTAGACAAGCATTTAAATCAAAACGCAGCAACATACAGCTCTCTCTGTATCTTACTGTGAAGAGCCTAACAATATAAGCTGTTTGCAGACAACTGCAAGGGTACCTATTTCAGGAGCACAGATGTCCAGAGACACAAACCAGTTAACTGAGAATGTGTCATAACCTTTGAGTCAAATAGGAGGAGATGTTATCTCCCTTAAAAACACAGGTTTTTCTATTAACAAGAAAAGAGTTACTTCACAGGAGTGATAGGGGAAGAAAAGCTTACAAAAACATCTACAGGAGACGCTAAAAATAAAGCCACACCATTTAAACAGCTCTCATTGTTACATAGTGAACCTTGTTCCAAGTTTGGGCCATTGTACAGGTCAGCTTTTTGATTGTGTCACTGATACACTTTTGATACTTCAGCTAAGTCACAAGCAATGTCATTGCCATATGAAATGAACTTTTAGTTCTAATGAATAGTTAAATCATCCCTTGAATTTCTTTAGATGAGCAAATGAAGACTCAAACACGTAAAGCTGGGGGAGACGAATCTAGTGCCAGTTTCCACTTCCTAGCCTATACAATGGCTAGTTCTGTAACGGCCATCCATAGCAATTTTCTACAACTGTATTCTACCCACTCAAAAGGTAACTGCAGTAGTCTTTTACACTCCATGTAAATATTTATCAACATACACCCTCAACCTTTAGTCATCTTCATCTTTACCAATACATTAGAATTTAAAGAATAGTAGGAGAATAAATCTGTTCACAAAATCTATTGCCAACAACTTCAGTGAACGAAGTGGACAAATATTCATTAGCTTAGGGCCTTACTAGAACATTTGCTTTGATCTCCCTCACAAAGAGGGACTATATTAGAATGTTTCAATTAGTACTACATATTAAAAATTAAAACCTACTTTAAATATTCCTGATAGATAAGTAAATGCTGAGTGTGCTGCTTCTATGTTCAGACCTGTGCACTGAGCACCAATAATGGAAGTGGGGGTAAAAGGGATAAGGTTTTGCCCCTTCAGTAGAACTTCAAAGATGATTAATCAAGAAGGAAAAGATTTCTAGAGGGGCTTACGCTGTTCAGGAATAATTAATCATTTCACAAGACTCCTTGTCCCTTGCATAATGGTGATTGGAATAGATTAATCATGTTAATGCAGATAAAGGATTGTATCAATTTAGACTGTATTAACACACAAATTATTTGCATAGTAGGCGGCTTTGTGTTTGCAAAACAACTTGGTTTTGACTAAAAAAGCCTGTAAAAAAATTAGAGCAGTTCTTTCCTGCCAAGCAAATTAAAGGTGTATTAACTAATCCATGCCCAGCACAGTTTTCCTAACAAAACAAAATAAAGGAAGAGATATAAACATGCTGACTAAAAGCTGACTCGCAGATAGGTTTGCTGATCAACCTCTTTGCTAATCTTTTCTCATTCTGGACTTAATCCTACACCCTTGCTGAGAACCCCCAGTCACAAACACCACTACTGCCCAAATTAACTTCACAAAAGATAGCCAGCCACCTCCCTCCACTCCATGTCTGTTTGCAGCACTGTCCTGTCTGGCTAGCACTGTAGGCTCCCAAAAGGAAGAAGGAAGTTGATTGCTTTAGGTGGCTTCCCAGCATATTTTTTTTTTCCCCAGTCCAATTTTAAGAGAAACATTTTTCAGACAGTGGCCATGTCTACATAACAGCTTGTATGTTTGCATGAAAAATGACTGCACGTGCACTGAGCCAACCGTATGGACACATGACAGCTCTAAACTGCATGCCATGTAACCAGGCAAGGGCAAAACTGAGCGCTGTCCCAACAAGCATTACTAAAATCTTGCTCTTGTGACTGGCAGGGACTTGTTCATGCCTGACTTAAGCAAGATCTAGATATCTTTTATTTAATAGGCTTCTCCTAAAAGGGAAAAAGACTGTAACATTGTTGTTTAGCCAAGCTAAAATAAAAGTGTCGGTCAGCTTCATCCCACAAATGCATATATGCAACTTCAAAAGCCATCGGCGAGGTTGTACTGTGTATGGGAGAGATAACTTGACTAAATTCCCCTCCAACATACAAGGCCTTCCAATAGTAACCCAGACATCATTGGAAGCTTTGGAAATAGCCTGTCTCAGGCTCCCCTCATTATGGCACCTGACAAGGCCAACATAATTGTGTGTGTCTAAACAACTACAAACTTTTTTTTATTAAATCTTAGGACACAGGTGGGAGCTGAGGACATCTTTAGGGACCCATTTTTCTAGCACAGGTGGGCTGCTATTTTCCATTGAACATGATCCCATCTTTTGGTTTTGTTCAACTTACCCATTTAATTTATTGTTTGCCCGTATTATTAAAGTTCTTAAGACCAATCTGAACCCTCTGCACATGTCTGGAAACTATAAACAGCAGCATAAAACCCTTCTAACAAGTTTTCAGTTCACAGCATTATCACAAGCAAGCGAACAGGACTATCAAGCACTTCATGCAAGTCTTTTTATCCCACCAGAGCAGCTAAATTTTTTTTTTTTATGTAATTAATACCTACCTGTATCTGAAAAGCTTACAAACTGTTAGTTGAAGTATTAGAAAAATGACTGCTTTTTATTGCAAATAAAATAGTTGAATAACCTTACATAAAACACTGGGAAGACTATGATGATTAATAATCTGAATGGTCCTATCACTATAGCCAATTTTCCAATCATTTTGGAAACACAAATACTGTCATCTTGAAGCATTCATCACTGTAGAACTCCAATTAAAATAGCTCCTTGCCCACAACTGTGAAGTGGGATGCGCTGAGCTCTTTTTTTAATTGTTTAGTGAGCACTCTTCAGCCAGCGTTTAGACCCACACTTGTTTATTTCAGGTTTTCTACTTTTCTACTCCAGAAGTCACATCTTATTTCAGTGCATTTCAAAATTAGACTTGGAGCTACGTTTTAAGTCTTATTATATGCTTATATGATATTATTAGATGAACAGGGATATATTTGTAAATCCTACTAACATTTTTCTGAAATAAAGTTGATTAAAAGTTTCAGGTCCAGTGAGACATGTGCTGTGCCAGACAGTAGCTATCTTCTTCCTTACTGAATATAGCACTTGCGGTCCAGGTAAATAAACACAGCTTGCCCTGGAAAGGGAAGTGACTTTCAATAATGCCATGTGGCATCTCTTCCCATCTTTCTGCCCTTAAACAGCATTTCAATCTGTAAATTAATCCTACCTTGCGATGATGGGAAACTTGCTGAAGCAGCAGCTGAACTAAAATCAGCAAATCCTCCAAATGGGTCAGCTGATCCACCTAGAAACAGAAGGAAGCCAACTGCTGTTACAGGATTGTGCAAAGATCCACTGCAACAACCGCATGCGGGATTTATGAAGAAAAGCTGATCTGTACGTGGCACGATGGATTTATTGATTCTGCTCCCTACGTTGGCACTGTTTTTGCTGTTCATCACCATACTATATTTATACAAGCCTGAGCAACAATAAACCAGATTATTTCCAACTGCCTTGCAGAACTTGCAATTTTGTTTTCCTAGGGAAGAACTGAGACACACGTTTTTGCTATCTCTATAAATAAGTTTAGAGAGATTAAAAAGATTAACAAGGTTTTAACTAGTGAGGGATGCTACTAGTTTGGCAGTTCGCAAAATTAAAACTTTGGAAGTATAATACATAAAAGCCATTCTTATTGTAAAAAAGTTAATTTGTTATGCTTACTATGAAAAATTACATGTCGCCTTATATTTACTTTTTTGTTACTTAAAGCATCAATGATTCTGCAATGATCTTGAATTGGGATTTCAAGGACAGAGCTTGCATTTGTGTTCATTTTTTCATAAGTTTGCTTCCTTTCTACAGCAGGAACATTAAGTTTCCCAACCAGACGTTTGTATACAGCACATAAATTAGTAACTTCTAAACACAGCATAGTAACAATTTTTCACTAAGAAAAAAATACAGCCAAGATATAAAAACAGAAGAAAGATTTAAGAACCATACTGGAAAGCTGCTTTTTTTAAAAATAAACAAAAAAACCCCCCAGTTTACAAAAAATTATCCTTGCTATTGCTTTTAAGTAGGTATTCCACTGACCTGAGAAAGCCAAGAAGTTGACCTTATTTGTTTGTCCTCAAAGATTTCACCTCCAAGTACTCCCACCCTTAGAAGAAGCTGCAGCCGTTCAATTATTTTGCTTTTAGTGTTATGCGTACATTATATAGGTTACATCACAGCTGCTTAGCCTGCAGTGCTTAGAAACTAGCCAGGTGGGACGGGAACATCTGTGCTGCACTCAAACACCACCAGGGACAGCTTCCAACATCTGGTGCCATTTCTGAATTGTCTTATCGCTGCAAGACATTCTGCCCCATCTGCTACTCTCAACTGGGTTAATTAAACTAGAACCATCTCCTTTTTAATAAATGGCTAGCAGTAATAAAAGGAACCATTCACTTTCTAATACACATGTACTTGTATTTCTTTTTTAATGTTATTTTACTGTAGACATTGCCAGGAAGGCGACTGTTCTTCCAAGGGGAAATGTCTTTTCTTGCCGAGTGTGTAGCATATGATATAAAACATGAGAAGGGAATGCAAGGATGGTTTCTTCGAATTTTCAAAATATAGCACTACTGAAATCCTTTTACCACCTTTTCAAGAGGGAGATTTCACACAAAGTTAAGAAATTTCTTCAATACAAATTCAGAACTGATCTAATAAGCATCTTACATATGTTTATATACAAGTTTTATACTGACTGCAACCTGAGAATGAAAAAGGGTACGATGAGCCAGTGAAATATCAAGGTAAAAAACTGTTCTGATCATGTTTACTCTGCCTACTGCAATGAACATTTTCAAATCATTTTTTTCATCACATGTGTCCTTACAGAGTTCAGAACAGGTTAATGGTTTGAGGGTTTATATCAAAATGAGCAACACAGATGACATACTCTCGACCACATCCTCAAAAAAATCAATGCTCTCATGCTACGCCTATTATCCCTGGGCTGTTTAACAAAGTATCTAGGGATTAATTTAATTTTAAAAACAGAACTAGGTTCAAACCCAAAATAACCCCTTAACATTTTCAATCAAGTCAACTTTTCCTCCACCTCTATTGCCTGTTTTCAAATGAAACTGAGTTCCAGAGAGGTGGCAGAGCTTAAGCTGAATGCAGTAACTCTCTAAAGAAAGGTATCACCAGCTAAGATTAAAGAACCTCATCTCCAGTAACACCAAAAAATTACTTCCAGCAGGTCTAACCACAGATTCCACATCATCTCAAATGGACTGCTCCTTTACGGCAACCAACCGTCCCCCCTCACATACAAATTGTGTTGCTTTAGTAACGCATAACCCCCCAAGCCTCACCAACGTTCTTCCACATCTCTGCACCTGAAAATACATAGATAAGCAAATTCTGAGTTCCCTGAATTCACATGACTTCCCTGCCAGTTCCTTCACAGGATAGATCAAAGGCTGCATTTGACCCTTTCCCTGTGTCTTGCCTGACACCGGGAACGTTCCCACACCCTGTGCCGCAAGGAACAGTGGTCATAACAAGTGACCTGCACGTGAAGGACAGTGCTAATCTTCTCAACATGAGCTATCCTCAAAGATTCCCATGCGAGATCTGTCACTACAAATGAACCCTTTCCATCTGCCTTCCCAGGTCACAGCAAAGAGGTTATTTAGCAGGACCAGCTGGTAATACGCCTCTTCTCAACACCATTTCTAAATGCTGCTTTGGAAAAAGAAGAAAAAAGGCAAAAAGAAAAAAAGGCTTACTACAGCAAAGAACCAAACTGATGAAAGATTCAAATACACTGTAATATGGAAGCTGCCATAGCTATGTTTGAAATATGGGAAGGCTCAGTTTGAAGTGGAAACATTTATTCTCAATGTGATTTTATTTTTATGTATAAAGATAAAAACATACACATATGTATATAAATAAAACCAAAAAAGGCTCTAATCTCTTTTCCCCTAAGAATTGGATAGAAGTTTCAGTATTGATTTGGGGTAGTGGTTCTGATCCAGGATCTTAAAATTCCATGGAACTGTGGTAACTCCAATGCACAATGAATACCTTTGCATATTAAGTTAATAAAATAGAAAATAATGCAAAATAAGTTGTTCCTTAAATTTGGGGGCATTTGTGCATAAAGGAACAGATGCATGAAATGAATTTTATTCCTTAACCATTAGGAATTAACACATATTTCAGAACAGACATATAACTTTATCTACTTTCCCAAAAATAAAAGTGCACAAAGTTTTCTTTCTTATTTCTGGTAGATCTTTAAAAGATTGAGATGGATCTCCGATACTACATTACCATGACAATTTCCCACCCCTCCAACAGAGTTTTAACGTATTTTATATTCTATTAAATAGAGAGGTAGCATTTTGGTAGCCTAGTGATGAAACTGTGTTGCATAGAGTGCTCGTAATACTGGCTTTGCTCATACATTATAATACAAATGCCTAGTGTGACATATTACAGGGGTTCCTGCTAATGTATACCCAGAAGTGGCATAGCTTCAGGTAGAAGTGAGTAAGAGTAGTCTTTACATATGCATGAATGCAGCCACCTTGCCACACATATGGGCCTCCAGCCGCTCTGGACTGCCATTTTTCAGTACAGTCTCATGTGATTTTACATTGTCTTTAAAACAAAGACTGGAGCTGAGTATCTGTCATCCTCAAGATACACACATACGCTTCTACAAACAATGTGAACATGATCCCATATATAATAAGAGAAGTTGCTTATTTGTAATGGAGAGAAGTTACAGAAAAGGTTTCTATCTATGAAAAGACACATGCTCATATTTTATTTGCTACTCGAAGTGATCCTTAAACAAAAATTCTGCCCACAGTTAACTCTCTCCCAACTGTACCATCAGACCACAAGTGCATGGAAGTCCTTTTTCTATTCCATGCTAGCCACAATCAAAACTGTCAATATTAAGAATGTGTAAGCACAGTAACAAGGCTTTAAAGTTTTAGGTTTTGAAAAGCAAACCACCAAACCCCTGAACTCCTCTATCAATCCTGTATGCAATGCACTGAAATTTAACACACTCCTAAAGAAACTGCATTTTGAGAGCATAAGGGTAAGTCCATATGAAGCTTAATGGACTTAAATTCAACTGCTCATTTAGACACCGAAGGGACATGTTTTACAATGAATAATTTTACTTTTAGGTAGCAATTTCTTTTTGGTATTAGGGTTGGGATCAACGAAGTGCCAAGACAAAATAAGATAAACAAGTTTGCCATAGACTTCAGATGAAAGCTTATATGAAGATCATCCATCTCCAGCTGCCTAGTCTTCGAATTGCACTATGAGAAATGCTTGAATGTGAATGGATTGCACTTGCTTTTAGAGTTAATTATAAATAACTGCATTACAAACACAGTTTCTGACAGACTGATCTGGCAGTTAATCTTTGTGCTAACATTTATTAGTCCCATGCAATGGCACATATAGTACCTTGCTACAAAAGGTTCTAGGCAGCTCTAAATTTTTTGAGTATTCATTTCTCAATTTATCTATTACTATATCTATATAACAACAAACAAGCTTATCCTCAGAAATGGTTCAAAATACGTATTAAGAAAATAAAACAAAATGTGCCTACCTGTTGAGACTGGCTGGCTAGCTCCCTCCAACAACAGATCAACCAGGGCATTAGACGACTTGCTGCCAGAGGGTACAGAGGCCTGAAGAAGAAATCACACAATAGATCTCATTTCATGATGTCATCACTCAAATGACATTGAGAAGTTTTCTTTTTTTTTTGGGGGGGTGCTTTGTTTTGGAGAGATGGCAGATTTGTCTTTGAAGCCAACAATCACTAGAGCCTGGCTAAATTTCAAATCAAACAGTGAACAGCTAGTGGCTCACATTTTTTTCTGATAACTGAAGAACTTGATAACTTGTCAATAAGCGTGCAGGTTCAGAGAATCCTTCACACTTCAGGCCAAGATTTTATCTTTGCTTTCCTGAAGAGAGTAAAACATGGTAATGACTACATTTAAAAAATTCTACATCTTAAAGCAATCACACTAAAAGGCATTCTGTAATTAAACTGTTCCACTGCCTTTGAAAACCCCAGTTAGACATTTTTGATAAAATAGTTCCCTTGAAGCCTGCATAACAAAAACTCTACCCTAAACTAGAAATTGTCTCAGAGGTTAGAAGAAAACTGTTTTCAAAGTCATGTTTTATTGTGCTATGCTGTCTCACCTTTGCTGTCGGCTGTGCAGTATGAGCAGCAACATTCTGTTCTGGACTTGCTTTATCCCCTGTATAATGTGCTGCTGCTCCCAAGTCAATGGTTTTTGAAGGATTTGCTGTGCGTTTGTGTCTGGTGGTGGTAGTTTCTGTAGCTTGTGTAATGTGAATGTGTTTTGTTGTCACAGTCTCCTCTTCATCTTTAAATTCAGCTTTGGGAGATTTACCTCTTCTTGATTTTTCCTCATCACTGTCACTAGAAAAACAAAAGCGATAGAGTACCATTTGTGATGGACTTCTCAGTTACTTAAGTGGACATTTGGCTTAAGCCACAAGAGTTTTGGTTACTGTAGTTCCTTGTAGCGATGGTTCATAGTAAAAATACTGCTTCTTCCTACATTTGAGAAAGGAAATGTTTTACCCTTACATAATGCATCTACATAACACAGCATTGCACCTATTGTACAAAAGTGATGAAGAAAAGCAAATTATTTTGTTAAACATTAACTGCAAGTCCACGGCAGAGGATAATACGATATCAGTGTTTAAATCCAGTACATTTAATTACCTTCTGACAGGAACTCCCACACACATTATGTAACACTTCAGCAACAAAAAGTTAAGTTGGCAGGTCTGCTCAGTACTTGCACCAAGAGACAGAAAGCAGTGAACCAAATACAGGTACTACCTTTCAGATTTCAAGAATTCCATTCCTATTTCAACTCATTTCCCTTTCCAGAGAAACAGGTTTTCGTATTCTTTAAAATGTTTGCAGAGAAAGAATGTTTACAGAATTATGCAATGCAATGATACTATTCATTTTTTATCAGAGAACACACATTTATTCTTAAAATGTAAAAGAACAAAAGTGTAACCATTTTAGGCAAAAACTTTTTAGATGTCACTGTGTAATATTTGTTTAATCTGTTACATTTTCTACTTTCATATTTTAAGTCTTTCACAAAAAAACAATTACCCCCCCAACAGTCATGTTGCCTGTTATCATCAAGATAAGATTTGTACATAACAGTAAAAATTGCTGTATTGCTGTAGAGAAAGCTTGTATATATTGAAACGTATTTTGAAATAGCAATTCTCTTAGCAACATAGTTGAAAGTGGAAGGTTTTTATATTTTAATAATACATTAGAATACTAAACCCGCAAAATTTAAGAAAGGCTGCCCCTTTGTCAGTTTTTTTTCTGTTAACAATAGTGGGCTTTTTGGAATATAATGCACGTCATTTCCTCTATGCATATTACCTACTCACCACTGGGAATGGCTTAATTCATTAACATCAGTGAATATAAATGCTCACTCCCTTTAATTTTTTTATTTTTAAAAGAAAAATATCATAGCTGCTGGCCAACCTTGTGACTACCAGGCATTTGCTTGAGCCAGCCTTACATAGACAAGAGAGCTCAAATTGCATCACCTAACCTTATCCTTCCAAGGCACTTCAAACCTGACTTGCAACAACAAGGCCTGCTGTTCCAGTTCTGGATTTCCGCAGATAGCCTGCCTACATGCACAAATACATCAGATGGGACCACTAACCACATTTTCATTTGTGACATCAGGATTTTAATACAAGGCCCCACAGAAGACTGATCTGCACATTAGCATGGTACACATGGTACATCCATCCTAAAAGCCTCGGAGGAGTGTGGATGATGTTGCCTTTTAGAGGCATGTTGAACGTATGTAAGACCAGGACAATCACAACTAAGGCTCAGTCTCTTAAAACCTGCTGCAGTGTACTTCTTGTCATCACTACAGAGTCTGCCTAGTCCATATACACATTCTGTGGGTTGAAGAAGTGATTGACAACCATCAAAGTCTGATCAATGGAGCTACTGCTACAGAACTGGTAGAGATTAATCTCACTAATGTAAGAATGAAAAAAAAGTGAGTCTTTGGTGATCTACAGCAAAATATACGTCTAAAAGCTTTTGAGAAAAGAAATTAAACATATATGCCAGAAATCAGGACAAATAATACAATACTCAATTTTGGATGACAACCAGTACTGCTTCCAAACAGGAGATCTGTTCTTTATTTTTCTTTAATGGTCACATTAACAAAAAAAAAGAAAAAGAAACATTACAGATTAATGTTCCCTTTAAGTGTGTTTACTGTGCTCAGAATAGTAAAATTGCAGTGCTTCATCTGAGAATTGCAGAATGAACTTAAAATAAAAATT